TTTTAGGTAAACTATTTCCTGTATGGGAGACAAACATCTTGACAAAGTTTCAGCCAATGTTTTTCGCAAGTTTTTGATCTAGCACAATACCAAGTCGTAACTTTTTACGTGGTTGTACGCGCTGTACAAGCATGCACGCAGCTGAATTTGAAATCTTTAGCTCGAAAATATATAGAATATCGCTGCAAAGTTTCAGCTCTTACCTTGCTTGATTCGTGAAATCGCTTTCCGCCAAAGAAATTTGCATTTTTTTGGAGGGAGAGGGGAGGGAGGGGCTCGTACACAGGGTCTAGGCGCAATGAGGGGAGAACTTAAAACGTGTGGGTGACACACGGGATAGGAACATATACCCGAAATTACAGCCTCCCCGCTTTCCTGGTTGCTGAGATGAAAGTGGGTGACAAAATGCACTCGCTTCCACACGTACACACACGCACACACACGCACGCACACACACGCACACACATGCACAGACACATACACGCACACATATACACACAGCCTCTCGACAATATATGTTTCTGCTAGCAAAAACGCATAATGAAGAAAACAGAAATATGTTGTGATGGCCTTCGATGCATAATAATCATTGTATTCAATCGTTAGAAGAAAATTTAGCCTATTATGGCGAACAAGAATCAAGCAATGGGTGACACACAGAGCGATGCCGAGCCTGGGAAGTCACCCAGCCCAACAACGTCACCCCATACAGTTAACAACAGCGGTATGCAAAAACAACCGACCACGCCAAAATTTGACGTTAAATCGATCAATCCCAAAACGGTAAATCTTTCAGAATCTCATTTATTTATAAAATGTCATTAAAAAAATGAGGTTTCGCATTGAAGATTTAAAAATTTAATTTTATTCTCCAGCTTCTGGCATTTTATTATCCCAGGAGACTCATAATTTTCAACTTTTAGGACGACTTTAAGGAAATCGCTATGCTCCCACTTTCATTAGCCGAGATTAACTAAAAAGCCATGTTCCTTTGTAAAAATAAATAATTGGCCAACGCACGGACTGCCCGTGCGAAGATGCGTTTTTTGCATGGTTCCCCGCAATTCCTGTTGCTACCGGTACCGGTTTTTTCGGCAGATGCTTCTAGCTGAACAAATTAAGATTGGCCACCAGAACTGTCAGAAAACATTCCCTTTAAAATTCCAACTTTCTAGCTC